TTCAAAGCAATCCCAGAACTCCTGCCACTCTTCCAGCTTTCCGCTGAACTTTCGTACCTCCAGTTTTGGGAGTTTCACCCGGACGGTCTTGGAGTTCGCTGAGCTCGAGGTCGCTCCGTTCTCGACGACCTTCTGGTAAGGACTAGAAGGAGGCCCACTCATGTGTTGACTCTCGCTCAATCCAGGCTGCAGCACAGCTAGCTTTTCGTCGATAGCTGCAAGTCTTTGAAGTACGTCAGCCTTCAATCTTGCAGCTCTGTCTATCTCGGCCGTAATGTCTTCTTCGGTGGATTTTTCATCGGCAATGAGTTCAGCATAAATTTCCTCGTCAAGAGGCAAGATCTTGTCAAGCTGTTCTTTAAGGACTGTGTGCCACTTAACAAGTTCAACTTTCTTCTCAGCTTCATAGCTGTTTAGGCAATCGTCAACGTCAGGAAGGACTCCCGTTAGAAATCCTCGATGGCCTGCTCTAACTTTCTTCTTGGACATTCTTTAATCCGGCTCGAAGGACCAGATGTTGCGGAATTCTCTTAACCCCGCTCCGCTGGTTCAAACAAATCAAGAGGACTGTATCTTTCGATGTAACAACACGATTTAATGCGATCCAACAATCTACTGCGATGTACAACTCTCACACATTCAACGTTCGTAAGACTACGATCAACGAATCGATCAACTCAACGATCAACTATCAACTAAAACATTCTAAGTACACAGTGGTTTTTCTACTATCCTTGCGTAAGGCAGTATTTTTACATTAATCACATGTACAGTAAAAGTTCCCATTGTAATGTATCTAAATTAAGTGTCTATTACAAAATCGCACGTTCTTTCACCTTATTTAGCCTAAGAAAATGCATGCAGTTACATCATTTTATATCGTAAATATACTCGGACTTTGTCTACATTATTGTGAAATCTAATGTCACGAAATCTAGCTTCTTTGCGCTACAAATGTCAATCTCTAATTAATATTTAATCACAGAATAATCAAGTTAAGCATCGCCTATTTCTTTCCTGACAATGCTTCATAAATGTAGATGCAGTCGTTGAAGAGTCGTCCAGTCTCTTATCCGGTGGTCGACAGTGAAGCAGGTGCCTTGATTTCCAAGCAATTAGTATTTGTAAAATAAGATACGTATGTTTTAAGCACTTAGTCGTGCGAAAGAAAGGAAGGGAGTTTTTGAAAAAGATATTTCCAGTATTGTCCAACGAGTAGTTTGTCTGGCATTAAAATAAACGTTCAGCTTGCACTGAGAAGAACCTGTATTTCCCTTGCTATTGAGTTTACTCTACAAGTCAGATAGTCAGTTTTATCGTGGTTTCATTGATTGTCAGCGTGAGAGAATCAACTTGCGCTTTAATGTCAAATGTTAACGGAATAGCAATAATCATCAAATATTGCCATCTGAGTATGAACTTTCAATACGGATTTCCACTAAGAGGTCATGTGACTTCGCTTTTATGAAAATGAAAGTTATATCATGATTTTCTTTCGAAAAACGATTAGTAGGTCATATATTAAACAAAATAATAGTGATTTGGTTTTTCAAACCCGCACCAGTTTCTTAAAATGAGTAAGTTCGTAGCTGGTCACGTGACCAAAATGTGATTTATAAAATTATGAATTACCTCTTTCTGAACACAAATTTTGCACTTAAACGTCAAGAAAAATGTTAAAAAGATGATGTGGTAACGTTTACAACACACCTGAGCGTAACTATCCAACGTTTAACAAGATACAAACAAAAAGTAGTTTTGGCCGTCATGTCGGAGGGCAAGAGTATGCCTTCCAACATGGCGGCCAATACAAATATACTTCTTTGTTGAAAAATCAAAGTGCCATAAAATATGTCCCTTAAATTAGTTTCCTCTCAAATTTCGGGTGTAAGAAAACTTTTATGTGCTCTGTCAAGTTTTGGAGAGAAGAAGAGAGGAGAGAAGGTCCTATCACTATCCTGCGACCTAAATATTGGGGAGCTTATTTCATAAGCAACGACGACGGTGACATTAACGATGAAGTCGCGCTACTTCAAACTTTTTCGCGCTTACTCCATCTCGTTCAATTCGTCAAATGTTGGCAATTTGTTGTGGAGTTGAATTCTAAATCCGACTTTCGAAGGTTAATTGAAGTCGTTGTCTTGTGTTCACGTTCGATCCTCCACAAAACTTGAAATTAGGCATTTCCACATCGCAACAGTGTAGTGACGGCAAAGAAATGTACAAAAAGGCATGATGCACGTGCTTATTTCTTGTTTTGCCAACATAAACCTATTCCTTTGTTGCCGTTATCTTTGAAGTCGCCTTGTCTAGTCCCTGTACGGCGTTTCCCCAGTCCCTCTCGGTCAGTTTACTTCGGTGATGTACCCTTCGAATGGACCACATGACCCGAAACGCTTTGGCCGCGTGGAAAAAGGAAGCCTAGGGACTAGGCAAGAAGTCGCTGTCGTCGTTGCTCAAACTTCCTAATTATTTTCGCCGGAACTACATTTCTATTTTATTGGAATACTCAGCGAGGGGCCTCTGAAAAGAGTGTCAGTTTGCATATAATTTAGAAGTTTAATACTTCCAAAATGGAAAAACGTCTGCAGAGCGGTTAATAACTAATTTTCTTAGGGTTATTATTTTTTGTCTTAGATTAGGTAACAGGTGATGGGCACGACTTCCCGTATATTATCGCGACAACATCATATAATATTACGTACGCAGGTTTAGCGTCAGTGACATTTATTACCCTGCAGTCACCAGTGGTGTACTTTCATTTCGTAGGATTTCTTTAGTTGAGCCTGTTGAGAATTGCAAAGGAGCACAGAAACTTGGTGAGAGAATGTCCATAATTTAAGGTTTTTTTCCTTACGTCAAGTAACCAGCATTAGAACACAATTTTCTTTAAAAAGGTATCAGCTGCATGAAAGAAGCGCTTATATTTACTATCTTTTGAACGCTCTTTTAATTACTCAGGTAAATTAAGGCATGGGTCCCCAATGATTCAGTCAAAAAGTGATGGGTGGGAGGTCTATCTCTGAGCACTTAAGCAGTAAAAAGATGAGACTTTGCCAAATACATACATGTGAGGTTTCTGTCAATTAGGTGATTTTCAATTACGCAAATGTTGTCACGTGACTCCACACAGCCAGAAAACAATAAAAAGTCTTTAAACGAAAATGGCAACACTTTTTGTTGTGAGTTATTAGACCAGACTGGTTTAGGACAATGTGTAATGCAAGCATCTACAAAACTGTGCTTGGCCTTTTTTGAATTTTTTACTGTTTTAGAAAATAAACGACTTTTTCAAATAGACCCAGTCCCCCAAAGCAATTGTATGCCATCTTAACGCCTTCGATTTTAAACATCTAAAAAAGGCCAAGCACAGAAGTGATATATTAAAAGGTCTTAACATTATGCAACCCGTAAAATAATTGAGAACACACAAAAAAGTGTTGCCGTTTCAAGAACAAGCTTTTTCAGCCGATGGAGGTCACATGACCTAATTTGCATAATTTTAAAGCACGAAATTGACACAAACTGAAAATGTGGGTAGCTGGCAAAGTTTTATGTCTCTTCATCTAAAGCTCTTAGATATAGACCACCCCCTCAGTTTTGAAGAGAGCAAATTAAGGCAAATTGAGGCCCATGCCTTAATTTACCTGAGTACAAAATATATTTGGCTGGAGTTTACAAAACGCTACTGCTCAATACTAAAGTCTTTGTTACTCAAGCAGCCTTTTTTGCGTTCAAAAACTAATAGTACAACAGTTGCTTTTTTTCTTTTCTCCTCCTTCCCTTCTTCTCGCTCACCCATTCGGTTTTCATTCCTTCCGTGGTACAATTTTCAAGCTTCAAGCGGACACAAGATTTTTTGGCCTCATTTCCAGCTAAATATACTGACAAAAAAGAGAAAAAAAACAACAACAACTCAACAGAAATGGAGTTACGTATTGTCGTCGTATTCGGGTCATCTCTTCGATTCACGACGTTAAGAGTCAATTTCCACTGTCGATTTTCATCATTTTAGGTATCCTACAGGTAATCGAATGAATCCAACAGCAAGCAAAAAAATTCAACAATTTCACAGAAAGCTTCAATTTATGCTACTTTCTTGAAAGTTAATCAGCCTTTTGAAGACGTAAACTTTACGGCCAACGTATCGCAGGCCTAAAAAGGTGTTTAAAAGTGCCGTTAGGTCTGAAAAGCAGTAAGCAAATAAATATACGCAAGTAAGCTTAAAAGAAAAAAAAGGGAATTAATGCACATTTCGCTCAATTAAAGAGAAAAATAATAATTTTTTGACGTATGAATAATTAATTAGCTAAGTTACCTCGCTAACACTAAACACTTTATTTTATGGCTTTGTAACATGAAGCAGTTAAATTTTAGGTACTTTAACACTGACAGTAAAAAATTCTTTGAAACAGTAAATTTTTTCCAAAAAGAAGCAAAAAAGGCTCCGAAAAGGCCAGTGTTGTTTAGTATAATTTTCGTCCATTTCACGACACTTCCGGATTATTTCAGAAGATTTCTGAAGGCTACCGACGATTCCCGAAGACTGTCGAACATTTCAGAAGACTAACGAAGAGGTCCAACCATAACCGAAGATGTCCGAAGAACCCTCCAAACACTTAACAGTATTTTCTTCGGAAACAGGAAACATTAAAAAAATGGTCAATTTAACAGCAAACACTAAAATTTATGGGCAAATAACGCTAAACACTGCCCTTTCACATATATACCTACTTAATAGCAACAAATCGCTAATACAGGAGGTCTTCCTGTCATTCTCATAAAACTCTTTAAAGTAAATTAAAACGATAAAGCCGTAAAGCGCGTCTTTTCCAAAAGGACCTAATGATGATTTCCCCCGGCCATTTTGTTTGGAGACCGATGGGTATGTTATCGGTGACCGGTAATTGCCAGAAATTCCGAGGAAAGGACCCCTGACCCGATGGTAAAGTCGGAAAATTGAGCCTACATATTTTTATTCCTTTTACAGGTTTTGCCAA